GGTAAAATATAACCATGTTTTACAGAAAAAAGTATTAAATACTATCTCTTAAAGTATTCTTGTTGGTGTAATTATATTTAATAAGACTTCAAGAATCACTTAAATACTATTTCATATAGGTAGTTAATTTCTTTCCTTTTTTTTCAAATTAATTATCGTTATATGTATATGAAAAAAAAATCTTTCGGGCTGAAGCCCCCAAAATTAAATCCTGGATCCGCTTGTGGATTAGGTATATATTATTTTAGTTTATAAAACAGGTATTAATATCACTCTTTTCCGGAGAAGTATATACTATTTAAATTACCTCTAAAGATCAATATATATATAAAACAAATTGTTAAATTGCAAACGTTAAATAAAAAATTCAAGATATTCAGCAAAGTATTTTTGAATTAAGTTTTATTATTATAATGATATCATTTTTACAATAGAGGCCTTCTTAAACGACCTCCGTATAGAATAAAGGAAGTTAAATTTTAAAAATAATAATAATTTTTTTGACAATTAAATGATTGCATTAATATTTGTTAGTTAATACAATCAATATCATGTATCAAAAATGTTATTATAGCAACATAACTAAGCTATTTATGAGTACTGAATGATGTGGTAGGGGCCTGAAGGCCTACGCCAGTACCGCTTTTCTGCCCCTTAAGTGCATTTTCTATGAAAGCGCTTTGAGAGAGAATCACTTTATTATCATAAAAGGGTGCTGCCCAACTACATTGGGTTGCTTTAAACACAGCATACTTATTAATCGCAACAGAGCATAATATACAATTTTTTTTTATCTATGTATATTTTTTTTTATCATAATTTTTTTTTCCTATATTTTTTTAAAATTAATTTATTTTTTTTATTTTTACTATTTCTTTCATTCGTTTATTAGCATTATACATCCCTTTCTGTTCCTTCTCTCACTCTATACATTTTTCTCGTTCCCTAGATTTTCTCCTCTCTTTTCCTAACCTAATTCATAACATGCATACAAATACATAAAGTGCAGTGGACGTGGTCAATAAATAATGTAAAAATGCTGTAAAACACGCATGCCTCCCTCCATGAACAAACTCTCTATCCATGCACATGGTGATGGATAATTCCCAGGGAGTCAAGGATTGTATTCTCTGCCAACCTTGGCAGGTCCTTTATGTCGACACCAAGGCCCTCCATGAAGCTCCTGGTTGAGTCTGGTATCGTTCCGCGAGCTCCGAACCAAAGGCCTCTCACGTGGAACTCTCTCGGCCCGAAACTCTCGCGGAACTTTTCACTAAGGAAAGCGATGCATTTCTCATATGTCTGTTTTTTCTCCCTTTCCACTTTTCCTGCCTGATCGAGGTCGTTGGTCTCATATCTCACGGTCGGATCCAAAATCATCGCCGACTTTCCCGTCTTAGGGAATGCTACAATGTCGGCATATCGGGTGGATCCATCCGTATCTATGCAATATACTTCCTCGAAACAGGCGTAATCTCTCTCTTTAAGGAGCCTCATCAGTTCATGTTTGACTCTATGGTGACGGCGTGTTATAAGGAGGGAGTTGTTGGGGCATTTTCCAAGCACATGTGCTGGTGTTTCTGGCTCTCTGTCGCGACAGAGGGACCCAACTTCTCTTACCTGTCCGCTGACACCTGGGACTCCACGCAGAGGTGCATAATTAATATTTAGTTTCAAGCCATTTGACCATTTAGACCCAGAAAGTACTTCCTTATCATACATGTATTTATTGGCTTTCGGGGTCTCTTTAAAATGGCGAACTCCAATGCCCTGCCACCTGTAATTGTTCCATTCCTCAAACAAATTTTCTCGAAGCGACTGCCGTAGAGCTCTCAAATTCCGAATACCCCGATCAACCCCCAATCTCTCAGCACATTCATCAACCTCAGCCGAATAATCAAAGATCGACTGAAAAAGGGCATCGGGCACATTGGACAGTCGCTGAGCAATGGACCAATGTTGTAGAGGAGCCTCTCATTGGCAGCGGATTAATCCTGGGAGAGTACAACATCGCCGTGGAGGTGTTCGCAGAGAGTTCAACAATAGCCTTAACACTCCTGCGAATCATGGAGTCGATGCCGTCAAGTATGGCAAGACGCAGCTTTGTGAGGTGCGCAGTTTGGAGAGGGTAAGTAAGACCCGGGAACAGATATTGGTTGACAATGTTTAGCTTCTGCTCCGGCTTCAGCAAGGGAGAGGTTACCAGTTTATTCAGATTTTCGTTCAATTTGGTCACCGAATCTTCGTTGAACTGTAGCTCTCCCGAGAATGTACATCCTAAATACTTGATTGTATCTCCATTCTGCAATGTTTGGATGTACTCTCCGTTCTCAAGGGAGAACATCGCTGTTTCCAGCTCTCCTTTATTTAGAATGATGCCCAAGCTTTTCTTAGTTCATGGTCCAGAACCTTCTCTATGATTCGGCGCACAATAGAATAAATGTTGATGGGTCTCCAGGAAGGGATTTTGTTTACATCACCTTTCCCCTTATATATTAGTATTGTGCGCCCTTGTCGAAGTGGTTCTGGGACATAGGCCACCTTCAGCATTATCTCCACAATTGTTTTGATAATATTTGCTACATCAAAATATTTAGTCGTGCGGATCAGAACTCCATCAGGCTCCGGCGATGTGTCCATTGATGTTGATTTAATGGCTCTCTTGACGGCTTCTAGATCAATGGACACCAAAGTAATCAGTGCTTTAAAAAGAAAATATATTCTCCATATGTTTTATTTCAGCTCGTTTTGCGTTATTGTTGGCCGTTTAATTACAAACGACACTTGATTTCCAATAGGAAATTTTTTTTGTTAAAAAAATTGACTTTACTGGTGTTTTGTTTTGCCTAAGCCAATTATTTTTTAATAATTTTTCATGTTTTATTATTTTCTGACTATTCAGCTTTAATAAAAGACCAACTATGATGGAATTAAGCCAAATTCTGATTCTCAGTAACCAAAGAACTAACTAAAGTCAAAGTCGTCAATCCGCCATGTTTGGGGCAGTGCGTTCATTTTTTTTTCTGGGAACATTGGCTTTTAAAAAAAAAAAATAAGTTACAAGAAACACAACGATATGCAATTTATAGGGATGTCGGGGGGTGGAGGAAGGATGGTGCACGGTATGGGGATCTGGCCCACCGTGCATATGGCCGTCACTGAATATACTGTTAATACAAACATTAACCGTAAATTCGGTCAACTAAGCTATACGTAGGGTGATACCGAAGTTAACAACGATTTGTATGCAAGATTTTTAATAAAAGTCTCGTAAAGAGTTTTATTAACTATGTGGCATTAAAGCGCTACCCTCTCGTCTGACTCGAGCAATCCCCACATAGCCTTAAAGGGGAGGAAGGAGTGCATAAAAAAAAAAATGTAGATCTGCTGCAAATCTAAATCAGGTGAGATAGTATTCATTAGAAATAAGATAAGAATTTAGTTCTAAAGGTGTATTTTGAGAGCAAATGATGTATTTGACGTCTAATTTATGGATTCAATAACACTGTTTTTATGACAAACGTTTCTTGCCAGCAGTTTGCACACAATCAAGCAGCTCTTTTTCAAAACGTTAAAAACTTATTAATGGTAACAACAATTCAATAATTGAATTATCGAATGAAGTTTTTTCGTTTGCAGTATATTTTTTTAATAACCAAATCTCATTAAAAAGATTATTTTGCGTTGTTTATTATACCCATACATAGCTACATGGACGCCGAAAATCATACATTCTCTTCCTGCTACCTAGCTTGTCTCACACTTTTTCCAAAATCGGGACTGTTCCGCCAAAAGCGGGACATCTGGTCACCTCAGCTTAGGGTTTAGCTTATATCACAATCTGATTGAATAATGTTGTCCGTGGGGCAGATTTAAACCCTTACCATCCTTAGTATACAAGCGATGGGTAAAATATTAATGTAGAAAAAAAAATAAAAACCACATGGAATTTTGCTGCCACTACCGCCAGGGGAATGACCTAAAAGTGCATTAAGTGTGGAGGAAGGTGTTTTAATGGAAGTTTATTAAAATCATTTTTTATTTATCATTCACCTAGCTACATTATCTTCATTTTTGAATGCTGTAAACTTAATTCACCCAACTATGGACTCTAAAATACAGCATTTTTTTCTAGACAATTCAATCATCATTTTCATATTTTTTCCGTATGACCAATTGATTGAGAGATATTAGTAAAATAATAAAAAAAAGGGGTTTCTTCTTTTACTCCATCCCTCTATCCCTTACCTCCCATCCTCTAGATCTTTAAATACGTTAATCATTAAACCCTCCTGAACAACATTTCAAAGGTTTAAAACTTTCGAAACTATTTCCCATAATCTACATGCATTGATTGCACTATTGAAAAAAATTTATAGATAGCTCTCATACTAAATGAGAGCGTTAAATAAATAGGATCGGAGCATAAAATCTTATCATTTAAAACACTAACCAGTAAATAACTATATAGGTGTTAACTGTTTCATTCATTAAAGGTGCTTAAGTACAAATTAATATGACTCCACCTGTGCTTGACAGAAGATTTAACAGGAAAGCAATAATTTTTCTAAATTTTAGGAAAATAAACAAATGGCGGCTTGCTAATTACATTACGTACAAATTAAACATGGATTTCTTTACAAAGAAAAAAAATATTAGTACTAAAAATCTGCTCTACAAAAATTAGCAGAAGAATGGGCGATCTCAAATACTCAACCAACCCCTCAAATTTTTGATCAATGGGTCTTATCACGGCCATGTGTCCTAGAGTGAAACTGACTCATCTCAAGTGCCTTTTTAATAATTTTTTCCAACGTTAGTTTGTTATTGATTTATATATTCTTCTATATTTATCAGTTGGATTTTTTGCTCTTTATATAAGGAACATACTGTTTTAATAATGGATCAATTTTATGACGATCCTAGAATATTTCTATCCAATATTATCTAGAAGGACATTATTCGCGCATGCTCATTGGCTTTTGCTCTTCGAGCAAATTCTACAATGCTGTTCTTTGTACTATGTTAGTTTATTGTATGGTTTAATAAACTTTAGGTTATTATATTTTGTTTTCCTGTTAAATTTAGGATATCTTATTATTCGTCTGTTAAGGTAATTGGTTTAACGTAATTTTATTCGAAGTGTCTTAAGTTTATTTCATCTGGAACCTCCCATCTAGGTTATGTCATGTTTTCCGTATTGTTCCTTTCATCTTAGCGAGTAATCCAGATACTTACTTTGTTTTTGGAAAGCTCTAAAGTTAAGGATAGTTTATATTTTTTTTATAGGCTCAGTGGAAGTTCAGGCCTTTTACCAAGATTACTTTATGTCATTATTATTTTTACGTTAACTTCGTTGGCTCTTTAAACGTCAGTGAATTTTAGATAAAACGTCAAGTACATGTATGATTTTTTTTTTGTTGGATTTAATTATTTTATTTTCTATAGAATTTTCGCTGTTAATAGTTATTATTTAAATTATTGATAAAATATTTAAAGCTGTTCCTCAACCCTATGGTGTTGTTTGTTTTTCTATAATATTAAAATTAAATGTGCCAAGTTTTGTATTTTTTAATTCACTTTTCATTTTTTTTTTACATTTTATTTTTATTTATTTTTTATTGTCATTCTTTCCCTTGTTTTACTTTTGTCAGTTGAATTTTAAAACTATACATAGGTTTTCCAGATAAAATATCTGGAAAATATCGGCCATTGTGCTAACCGACTTTAGTCGAGTACTGTCGAGTTTGCCCGATGCTTAGATCTTTGACTCTAGTAACTGAACTAAGCGTCTTGAGTTCTCAACTAAGTTATTCGTTAGCAGAATAGTGATTCGTGTTATTTACCTTCGTGTTTTTATTGAAACTTATTTTAATGCTATGCTTCCGTGATACATGAATTAGATTCAATCCTAACCTTTTGTGCAGTGTACACGGACTGACTAGCCAGTGGAGTACAAAGCTACAAGACAGAGGATTCCATGAAGAGAACACGTTGCAGTTATGCAAAAACAGAAACATGCTCCCGGCCAGCCGCAAGGCTATCAATATAATGGAAACAACGGTGAGTGATAAGTTCAATTAATAACATTTTTCAAACTTTTTACAAAAACATAATTAAGTTTAAGATAAAAGTATTGTTGCCTTTAAACACTATGTTATTTCCGAATTTTAATTGATTTCATGTTATGTTCTAAATGTTTTTATACCTAAGTATTCTTTTATATTGAATTTATTTTTACTTTTTAATTTTAGGTATTAAAAAATAGTGTTAAAAACTTACTAAGGAACTTTAAAATTGAAAAGAAATAGTGGAGATTCTGAAATTATGTTCATGCTACCCAAATTATTATTTGTTACCTTTACTTCATTGTTAATGTTATTTTGAATCCTATATTAATACAACAAATTCATCGGAGTGAATACAAGATGTCATATTATGGACCTTATGTGCCCCATAACCATAAAGGTAATTATATTTTATTAAAAGTTGCAAGTAATTAAGCATGTTAAAATTTTATGTTCTTGTGTTGTTTGCATGTGTTATTTTGTACTGTCCTTGTTATTTTTATTCAGATCAAATTATATAATACTGCAAGATGTAATATTTTCCTTGGCTAAAAATTTGTAGTCTGGTAATACAGTAAAATTTGTTTTTCACATACATGTTAGATTTAATGAATAGAAACAACCAAGTCAATTTTTTCCTAGATTACTGTTGCTGGCTTATATGTTTTGGCTAGGTGAATTTTGTGATTTGTTAATAGATTATTATTCATTTATACCTAAGGTATTTATAGGGTTGTGTTGTCAATTTGTTATGAATTTGTGGTTCAGTTTATCAGTTTTTATAGCTCACATGTTATCAATTTAGCATTGGGATAAATTATAAATCAAGATTAAATATCAGGTGAGCTTTAGCAAGGTACAAGGTTTTTGTTTTTTCTTCGTTTACAATATTACTAAGAAATCCAAGTGCAAAATTCAGTATTTATTTGTTAACCTTTTATGTATTGTTAGTCTGGCTTAGAAAATTGTGGGTTTTTACTTAAAGCAAACTGTTTCTTGTGTTATTAGAAAGTTTTTTTTCTTTGCTGTTACCAGTTAATTTTTGTGTTGTGTGTTCAAAAGAATCCGCCCAATATTTGCTGTAAGTACCATACCTAGTATTATTTCTACCATCATTAATAGTCATTTCTCTTATTTCATTTATTTTTTCTTCTTCAGTTTAAAATTTAAGTATAACTGTTGAATTCTAGCTGTGAAGAGATTGATTATGTTACTAGAATATTGATTTTTTTTTTATAATCTATGATAATTATTTTTAGAACAAATAAATTCTTAGGGTGTGAATATTGTTATTTTATTTATTATTGTACTTTCATTCATACAGTTATTATGTAAATCGTTTGTGAATTGTAATAGTTATTATTTGTTAAACATCACAACTTTTGTTCAGATTGTTTACATAGTCTAGTAAGTATAGTTGATAAATTATTTTTTAGTATAAAGGTTTCTTCCATGACTTGACTTTTTCAAGTTGTTTTTATTTAAAATTAAAGAGAAATTTAAATGTTATTCCAATTTAAAATTACGCCAGCATTATTACCGTTTATATTATGTGGATGTTGAGAATGTCTTTCATTATGGCTTTCTTTATGTAGCCTTTTACTTTTATGTTTAATTGTTTCGTGTTATTATTGGTTTACATATTAAATTGGATTGTGTTGGTGGTAAACTAAGACATTTTGTTGTGATCATTTAGTAACAATACATTACTGACACCAACTTGGTTTAATTTGATTAGAGGTTCTAGTTATTTATATTTATTTTTCAACTGGGTGATATATTAGATCTAGGTCTATTGATGTAATAGATGTTTCAAAAACATATTTTTTGTTTTCGTTTGAAATCTAATCAGTATAATACACAATTTGAGCATTTCAAGTTGTTGTTTTTTCTCTTAATTAGTATTTAGTTGTCTAAAAGGAATTTTTTTTATCATTGAAATGGCTAGGAAACATGTAGCAGGGACAAACATTTTTTTAAAATCTTAGTTGATGATATATATATATATATATATATATATATATATATATATATATATATAATATATATATATATATATATATATATATATATATATATATATATATAGACTCTTATTGACTCTGTTATGTTGAAGATGAAATGGTAAGTAATTCTTATTTAATGTAACTGGGGAGTTTGGTTTATTTTTTTTTTCTCGTTTAGTTTATTCTTAATTTAAGGAATTAATCCTGTGTCATCCACAGAAGAAGTTTTAACATCTGTACGCACAAATTAATATTTCAAGTTTTTCTTATTCAAAATAAATGTTTATTCTTTCCTCTAAGGGTAGAATTTTGATCGTAGGAATAAGTTTTACCATGTATTTTAATTAAATGGATTTTGGATTATAAAAAAATTAAACAATGATTAATTTTTATTCTTCTAAAGACTTATTTTTTCTTTGGGAACTAGTTACTTATTATTATAAAACACTAGGTTTTGTTACATTACTGATGTTAATATAGCTTTAAGTTAATCACAAGTTTATTTTTCTGTTCTTGATAGACTGTTGTAGATATATTGAAAAAAGTTGGTTGGGCTGTATAGTCAGAAAAAGAAACAAGGTGCAAATAAATATGAATTATATTTATTTATTTTTAGCTTGTTTCTTTCTTTGGCCGAACACCCTAACCAACTTTGCTTCAATATGTTTCTGTCTATTTTGTTCGCTAAAAGAAAAGTCTCGACCTTTCAGATCAACAACGTATTAAGCATGGTAGTTCATAGTGCAAGTAAGCATATAGGTTAGGTAATTAAGTATAATAATATGAAAAATAGTCATTTAATCAATAATTTAGTGGTGGTGAGATAAGAGACCTTTCAGTTTTATGTAGATTTCTTGAAGCCCGTTTATATTCTACTAATGTGAGTAGATCTATTCTGTACTTAACAGCTGAATGATCTTTCAGAATTTTGGATTTTACAACTCATACCTGTGAAGAGTGGAGTTTTTTAAAGAAGCAGCATATTTATATTATTCATATAGATATAAGTCAATCTATGGATGACAATTTAGATGTTTTATTTGACCTTTTACCAATTGATTTTTTAATTTAGTTAGTTTTGGATCTCCTCTGATTTGGTTTTCATCATTTATTTAAGGTTGGATTTATAGATAAAATGACTCATTGTGGAAAGAATGATATTTATGGGTTAGTCTATGAGCATTCATACCTTGCAAATATTGTCTGCACCATGTTGAAGTAAGGAATGTGATACGTTAGGCAGTATGAAATTTTTTATATGGTGCTGACTATATCAATCTTAGTTATTAAAGGAAAAATCCATAAACACATTATAATTTAATTTACTCACATAACTCAACAGGAAAAAAAAACTATTGGACCATAAGGTAGTAAAGCCCAAGTTAATATCCATCCTTTATGGAATTCAGGAAGTTGTGGAGTGTTCAAAATTTGTTTTTATCAAGAAATGTTATTGTGTGTATTATAACGGAAACTGACAGAACATTAAATTATTGCACGACCTAGTTTTTAGGAAGTGTTGTTTGTGTGAATGATGCTTGGCGAGTGTGTCACATACAAATACAACTATTGTGATGACCTTTAATTTTTTAAGGCTAACCTTGTAAGTTGAGGAAATTCCATGGAAAGGTTTCTGTTTGCACTCCTTTTTGCTTTAATGATGTCAAAAGTTTTTGTGTTAAGACTGTAAAGATGCTGGACAAGGGTTCTCCTTTGTTAACATTATAATAGTTGCTACTCAGTGGATGCAAAATTTGATGCTGTATAATTTTGATTCTATGGGTTTTTCTTCTTAAGGAACTCATTTCCAAATTACAGAGCCATTTATAGTGATTTGGCTGAGACTGATAAATTTGGTAAAAACCATAGTTGGTTGACCGTGGTATTAACCTTACACCGTGACCAAATTATTGAGTTTATGTACTCTTTCGATGCTCAATTTAATGTTTTTAAGTTTATTTTAAAAGTATATTTTTCACTTTGATGCATCAAATAGGAGATATAGGTGAAAAAACAACAATATCTGACTTTTTTGGCTGCAAAAAGTTGTCACTTGTTAGTCTGCATTAGCAATTTGTTTTGTTTGTACTTGTCTAAATCCATATATAGAATGTGAATGTGCTCTCTGAACATTATTATAAATGTCGTTAATTGTGACAGATTGTAATATTTCTGAATAAAGAAATACATATATACAAGTTAAAAAAATGAAAATAATTCTTCTATTTTTCGCAATGGATTTTCTGTTTGAACTTATGTTACTGGCTTAATATTTTTTTGTTTTTTAATAGTGGATACTCGGTTGGTCTGGATTTTCTTTATCCATATGTGATTAAGCCTTCTACATTCCTTTTCTCTTGATTTGAGTTGTGTATTGTGGTACTTGTTATTGGTATAAACATATTGTGGTTAGAATAGGTTTGGTTGTACTTCGATAACCAACCCCTCCCACCCCTAAAATAGGTAGATGTATCAATATAAAAAAAAAAGGTTGACATGTTTGTCTCTGTCTGTAAAACTGTTTTTTAAAAATAATTTACAACGTGAATATTACCCTTTTCTGTTAAAGTGTTCAATGCTTTTAAAACCAATGAGTCATGGCCTGCAACCCAAGTTTTTTTATCCTAAGTTACAGTCTTAGTATTTATACCCTGTAATTTTTTTTATTTCCCCAAAATAAGCTCTTAGAACTCCTAAATTTCTTATTTTGATCTATGGGTGCTCCCTATTAATTTTGTGGACTTGTCAAAATAATAAAAATATCAAATGTGTTTGATCTATAAACCTTTTGTTTAAATGTTTCTTTTTCACATTAAGTTGTAAGGTTGCAAATGAGTTTTTTTTTTTCATTATTTACTTGAATTTATGGCGATGTGAATACTAAATCTGAAACAGTTGGATTAAGATTTATTTTAAATGTGATTTGTACCAAGCATTGAATATCATTGTATTTATTGTTTCAAAGTATATGGATGAGTTAGTTTTATTATTATTTTTTCATAGCTTTGTTCACTAGCTAAAATATTTCATTTGAGGTGGTAATTTTGTCAATCATTTTTTAATATTTGTTACCTAGCAATGCTTGTTATGCTGTAGTATGTTCTTTTCCTATTTTAAAGTTAACCGGAATTTTTACTGTGAGTATAGTAAAATGTTTGTTTTGCTTGTTTAGATTTTCTGGATATTACAAAAATCAATTATATTTTACCAACATGAGCATGCAGTCAGTGGGTCACTAGTTTCAACCAAATTTTCATTTTATTGCTACATTGAAAAATATTGAACATATGTCCTGGCGTTTGTTTCAATGGGCCCTAAAGCTCAGAATAAAATATTTTAAATAATTTCAATCAAAATTTATATTATTAATTTTTTGTCTTTGCATTGCCCGGTT